CAGTGAGAGCTCCTCGTCTTCTGAGGAATCCTGGGGGCCACCGCCCAAACGTGGATCTCGCCGAGGACCACCTCATGGACCACCTCCCCCAGTGGCGGTCAACGATCCAGGGGAGGCAGCTGCTGCTGCGCCCATGCCGCTTGGACCCTCCGGAGCCTCTGTACATGCCCCTGTGTATCCCAAGGTTACAGCAACGGCTACCACCACTTCTGGCTCCACTGGGTCGCTGTTTCCGACTGGACCAGCCGGCCCACCGCCTCCTACGCCGGCCCCAACAATGCAGATGCCGACAGGTTGCCCCCAAGACCTTGTACTTACTTTACAAGGCGCTTGGCAGCTCCGCCTTACCCCGGTCACCCCATTGTCGATCTGTACACCGATTTGTGCACCACCACTGCCTCACATGCCCGTTCCAGCGACGTTGGCAATGGCAGCGGCCACCACCAAGGCATCATCTCCGCCTGTGCCAGGTACCTCCGGCCCTCGGGCCCCCTCTCGCCCGGCTTTCCCGGGAGATGCAGTGTTACCCTCATCTTTGCCTCCGGCGGCTGTGGTCCCCTTCTCATCGACATCGACGGGCTCAACTACTCCGACGACGGCGACAGGACCATCCACCATCACCACGCCAGCCCAGCTCTGGAACGCAGTGGTGTCAGGCCTTACCATGCCATCGGACGTCTGAGGCACTGCATATAGCGACGCTTCGCTGTGCCCTGCTTCCCGCCCTTTTCATTTTGGAGCACAAAGCCGCAGTAGCAACAACGGTTCATGCGCATGAGCACAGGACACAAATGCTTGGCTGCCCTGCTTTGTCACAAGGGCCCCTGCCTGGCCTGCTTCTCCCTGCACAGCTTAATCACTCAGGTCACAGTAACATGTCCTTCCTGCAGATGATGGACAATGAGGCGCCGTTAATTGGGTGCCCCTGTCTACCTCCATCATCGCGAGTTATGCACTGCTTGCATTCCCAGGTCCGACTCGGGCGAACCTATGCTTGCAGCCACAGCCGCAGGATAGATCGTGGCAGCCCAGGAATAAACTTCAGGCACACAGAGTGCCCGACGACACCGACTGCTCGCCCTGTCCCATCAGTCTCAGCCCTAGGACAGTGGCTGAGGCAGCATGGAGTGCACTGCCTCTGTGTACGCGCCTCCTGTGTGAGGCGCTCTCCGTCTCGAGGTACCGTAAAAGCGCCAGGTTTAACACCTACCGCAGCTATGCTCTCACTCAGGCATTGCACTATGAGCAGTGGTTACCATCTCTCGAGGCCCACGTCCTATACCTTGAAGCCAGGCGAGAACTCACGGAAGCAGAGCATGCAGCCCTTCTTGCCCAGCTCACACACCTTGCTCCTCGGGCACACGCCAGCCTGCAATCCCACCTCCTTGATCTGCATCTACTCGACTAGGCTGGGTCCTGCTGGCTTCTCAAGTCGGGCTCTCACAGCTCGTCTTGCAACTCGTCTTTCCATGCACTTGCCTGTTTGTGCCCAGGCTGGAGGAGTCCTCGCCTGTGGGCTTGCTCATCCCGCTCACCTGGAGCCACGGCCTCAACTGCCTCCGCTTGCCCAGCCTACCTGGCTCTGCCTTGTTGCCGTATTGCATGGGCACAAACGTTTGCACATTGCTGAGCAATCACCTCGCTGCTATGTTGGCTCATATCAGCAGCTGCCCCAGGATCAGTGGAGGCCGACTCGGCCTGGCTGTCTCATGGGCAAGGCGAATCGCCTTCAGCGGAGCAAGCAGCACAAGGGCCGTCGCACAAGGGAGGCCAATCGCCCGGAGGAGAGTGTGGCCGCCGCCAAAGCAGGCCCTGGTCCAGCTCCTAGCGGCTCGAGCTCCTCGGGAACGACCTTCAAGGTCTTGGTGCTCGCGCCACGGCGCTTCATCCGTCTCTTCGAGGCTCAACCGCCGTATTTGGCTGGCACTCCGGGCGTCATCCTGCCAGATGACATCCCAGGCACTCCGCTGAGCACCGCCACGGCCCCGCTCGCTGGCCAGACCACATGCAAGGTCATGCTTATCCCGGGCCTTGCTGTGCACATCTGTACCTCCCCGCAGGTGATCCCTACGCCTCCCACCTTCTTCTCTGAGATTGTCCAGGAGCGCCTCTACCGTCTATATCGCTGGGTGGTATCGCCGCCACCGCCATCGCGATATGTCAGGCCACCGCCAGCTTTGGCACCGACGCAGGTTGATGGTCGTGAAGATTCAGACCGCACTGCACGCCCGACAGTCCAGATCCACTCGGACAGCGATACGGACGGAGATGAAGTGGTGGTACTTCTGCCGGGTCCAGGCGGGCGAGAAAAACCATCGGAGGTGGTCAGCACAGCCTCCTCTCTGGAGCCTCCGGCTTCCTCGAGCTCTCAGTGTACACCTCCGACTTCGGGTCCCGAGAAACGGCGTCAGCTCCTGGCCAATGTGATGATGCGAGCGGCCGAAGATGGAAGCCTTGCCAAGGCCCTCAGCCGAGTCCGATGGCCGGAATCCGAAGACGCACCACCGGGGCATACGGATTCCGAGAGCGACACTGTGGAGGCGCTGGAGCCTGGAGATGGTTTGCCACCCCCGTCGCCGGAGAACATACTGCGTGCGGACCCGGCAGCCTCCACTCTCCTGTCGCACACCTTCCAAGGAATCTCCCCTCCGGAGACCATGCTGGAGAGTGTCCCAGAGATGGTGAAGCTCCTGCCTGCCTCAGTGGCCTCACAGGATCCGCCTAGCACGTGTCAGCCCCTGCCTACGAGGCGCTGGCGACGGCGTCAGCTCTCTCAACTTGAGGCGGAGGCGGAAGCACATGCCAAGGCAGAGACAGACCCGAGTCGCTCCCCTTTTTCTCCGATCACCCGGACAGACACCAAACGGGTGCGGCCTGAGAAGCGCAGCTCTACGTCCAGTTCCAATGATGATAGCTCCTCTGGTCGATCGGGGCGGAGCCACGGCCACGAGCCCCGCCGTTTCACTGACACGGGCATGACTCAGCCTGGCACTCCGACCAGCCCGGCATATATGTGCGCTTCCCCTGCATCTCCTGTGAGAATCTTCATGCGCCTCGCAGTAGTGATGCTCTCACTGCCCAGGTCCTTGGGTGCTGCTCATGGACAGTGGTCTTTTTGCGAGGCCCTCAGTCTGCCGCGCTATCTTCACTTACCAGTAGCCTGCCACACACATCAGTGGAGCCCCCAGCAGGCCATGCTTCTACCACCCAGCCGTTTCAGCCCTCAGCCACACGCTGGTGCCTTCTTCTCTGGGCAATGGCACCTGTTCGCAAGCGGCCTGCCGGTCGCTCCTCCGGACACAGTGCTCAGAAATCCCGTGCACAGGCTACTTCCAGGACTTCAAAGACTGCCTCTCGCACTGCAACCAAGGCTATCTCTACGACTCCGGCGAAGCGACCTGCATGCTCCACCAACAAGCCCATCAAAGGAGCACCAAGGACCCAACCGGACCGCTCGAAGCTTCCCTCGGATATACCCACTACGCCGTCCTGGTTTGCAAGTGATCCCGACGAGGTCCGCGCCTCCGACTCGGACCAGATCGATCGAGAAATGGCGGCTCGAGGCATTCCACCGCCCCCGGTTCCACCTCTCTGTGAAAACGATGAGCCGCGTGGTCCGCCGCCTCCACGACCAGTCCGATATGATGATGCTCTCGGCTTGCTCAGTGAATCAGAGGGACCTGTTCCGGTGCCCGCAGTGGTCCTGTCCAGGGCTCAACATAAAGTTCTGGCGCAGACCCCGTTGTCCCACATCATGCGACACGCGTCTGCCAGTATGTACCCTAAGTCCGTGCATCACGGATAGCAGCTCGCTGCTCTCCCTAGTGGCCGCTGCAAACGGAGTGGGTCATCAGGATGTAAAGCCTAGGCAAACAGCCTTTATCTCGCTGCACAATGCCTGCTCTGTTGATTGGCTCTGGAGAAACCGGTCTGCACTGCACCTGCCCAGTCTGGCCTACCTGCACCTGCCACGGTGCCACCCTTACTGGACCTGTCAATGCACCCAGGTCACGGCAGACTTCCTGCCCCAGCCCAGCCGGGCTCCCAATCCTCCACTGCAGGATACCTTTCCTCGCCACAGACTGAAGCGACCAAGGACCCCGCTGGGTGGCCGACGTGCACGCAAGCTCAGACGCAAAAGGCGAACTGCTGCAGGATGGGCCTCTGTCAGAGGACAGCTCTTTCGCTGGTACGTGACTCAGGCGGACCTCCAGATTGCTGGTCTGCACTCCACTAGCGTATTCCTGTGGTCTCTTATACGTTGGGTCACAGGTCTGCTCAAGAGACATGCAGCCACTGCCGCAACAAGGCCACTACAACAGCCCGCACAACGGGCGGACATCGTTCTCGTATGGCAACTCAAACTTACACACATGTTTACATTTGGCATCAAAAGAGCCTACTTCGGTCCCAAGTCCGAAGGGAAGGCTTGCTCACACAGGCCACAGCACATCGAGCGCACTTCTTTGCATACGCTAGTGCTAACCTGTACACAAAGTCTCTCAGAGCCGAGGGTTAAACGTCCCCCGCCGCGGCTGCCCCGATCCCTGCTGGACCAGATGCACATGTATCGACCACAGTTCCAGCCTCGGACTACTGTATGGGAGCAGGGAAGCCAGGGAATTTTGCAAGTGGTGCAGTCCTGCGGGACCGCCACCCTCATACACAACCAGTCGTCATCAGGTCTCGCTTCTCCTGGCCCGCTTCGCGCCTGCTCCTTCTCGGAGTTAGCAGCATTCTGCAGGCCCCCAGCGATGCACATGCCACAGGCATCAAACGTGCATACAACCGGGCAGTCAGACGAGCACAAGCGAGCCCCTTGCAGGGCACCTTCTATCGTGGCCGATGGTGCTCCTTCCGAGCACCTGTCATCTCGCCACAGCCTCGGACGGATCGTCGTCCCCAGCTGCATGCTGCTGCCCCTGCCTCTGCTGCCAGGCTTCTGCATGTCTCTTACAATGCGGGTGGGCTGACGGGTGGGTGAATCCTACCAGGAGTTGATGCAGTGGCTTGCCCAGCTGCCTCCAGAGCAGTGCCCAATGATAGTGCACATCCAGGAAACGCATTGGTCGCACGATCAGGAATACAGCACACCGGGCTGGCATATCACATCATCGGCCTGTCCCTCCCCTAAGGCAGGGGGTCTCCTCACCCTAGTTAGCGCCCAGCTCTGTTCGGCAAATCAAATCTCATCCTCCTCTCGCGTCGCAGGCAGGCTGCTCCACGTCCGCATCGATCTGGGAGACCGCACGGTGGATGCAATTAACACCTACCAGAAGGTTTATCATTCTGGCAGCACGAGAATCGAGAAAGGTCAGACTCAAATCGCGGCCGATCAGCGCCGCGATGTCTGGACATCTCTTCGTGGCCTCCTCAAAGAGATTCCGATCCGTCACCATTTAATTTTGTCTGGCGACTTCAACTCGCCTGCCCCGCTCATCCCCGAACTGGTGGGAAGCAAGGCCAGGGCATTTCGCACACCAATGGTCCCAGATCTGGCTGCCTTGGAGGCCCTGCTCGTAGATTTTCAGCTGCTTCATCTTAACAGTTGGACTCGCAGAGCTGGCCCGACCTTTATCTCCCCGCAGGGCGCATCTCAGATCGATCATGTGTTTGTGCGCAAGGCCGCCGCCGATATGCCTGCCCGCGGCGGCAGCCCCTGCAACTGGCCTCTGGCGGCCTGGAGACAAGGGGGCCGCCATCGCCCGGTGCAAGTCTCACTTCCCATTCGACCCTACCGCGCCCTGGGCAAGTCACAACCCAAGCGTGCTCTCCTTGATCTCCAAGGCCTACGCAACGCCTGTCGCGACCCGAGCCATCCAGGAATCCGGCAACTACGTGCCTCCGTCGAGGCCCTGCTCTCGGACTCCCCTGAGGCCACTGTCGAAGAGGTCAACTCCCACGTCCTGCAAAAAGCGACGGCGGTGTTCCCAGCTGTCCGTAACCAGGGACGCGTTGTCCCCTGGCAATCCCCCACTGTTGAACTCAGCGTCAAAGGTATGTGGCAAGCCTACCACTGCTGGCGGCATGGACCGACGACAGGACGTCGAAACGTCTTTGCTCTCTGGCGTGCTTACTCCGCCTTTCGCCGAGCACACAAGCAGTTCCGTCAGAGGACCCGCGAAGCCAAACGGGCCTGGTTTCATGATCAAATTCTTGGTATGGAGCGTGCATCTGCTGCCGGGGACGTTAGAGCGCTCTTTCGTCTGGCTGGCGCCCTCCTGCCCAAGCAACCACGTCGCAAACTCCAGCTCCGAGGTCCCAACGGTGAGCTTTGGTCCTCCACGCAACAGGTGGACTGCCTCAAAACTTTCTTTCAGGATCTGTATGCGCCTGAGGACGAACCGGCACTGCCTCCTCTACCGCCACTTCAAGCCCCCACAATTTCCTCCTCTGAGGCCCACCATCGACTCGCAAAGCTCCCAGTACACAAAGCCACCCCAGCGCATCAGGCACCCACGGCGGCCGTCGTTGCCTGTGCTGATCTTCTTGCGCCCTGGCTCAGTGACAAGGTCGGGTCTCTATCCTCATTCCCGGCTGTCTGGTCAGACTGCTGGCTGGCCTTAATGCCCAAGGTCAGTCATCCAGTACTCCCACGACAACTACGCCCTATCGGGCTCACGGAAAGCACGAGCCGTGTTCTGGCCGGACACCTACAAGATGCTCTCAAGCCCTACCTTCAAGCCTTCGTTGGCCCATGGCCCCAGCTTGCCTATATGGCAGGACGCAGCACAGGAGAGGCGCTGCATCGTGTGTTCAGCCATTGTCACGAAGTGTCCGCGGCCAATCTTAAACCTGCCTACAATATCCACCGTGCCAGAGAGAAGCTGGCCCAGGCTGGCAAACCCTCATCCCCATCCTCTGCCTCCAAGCGGCAACGGACTGGAGGGGTCCAGGCATCACTGGACCTTTCTCAAGCGTTTGACCGGCTCAGCTGGAGTCTTATACACGAAGCCTTGCTTGAGGCCCAAGTTCCTATCGAACTGAGGGTACAACTACTTGAGTTTTACAGAGGTCTGGGCTATCACCTGACCTTCGGCTCTGAGCAAGCCACCGTCCACGCCTTGCGGGGAGTCAAACAGGGCTGTAAAGTGGCTCCACTATTGTGGAGTCTGGCTACAGGTCTGCTTATGCGCCGATTGGCCCGCGCGACTTCCTCTGAGTGGGTCCGTCGCGCCCTCACGGCCTTTGCTGATGACTTTCACATTGGGCAGGTTGTACACTCCACCCGAGATTTGCTTCTGTCCATCGACAGGCTCGGTCACGTCTTGCAACTGCTCATTGATGCACGTATGAAAGTCAACATTGACAAATCCGTGATTCTCCTCTCTGTCAATCATTCCTATGCCAGCCGCTGGCGACGTAGAGAAATTCTCTCTGGCAAGGTTGGCCCGCGCCTGCGCATACCAACTCCCACGGCAGGCACCTTCAAGATGCCAATCGTGACTACTCATAAGTATCTGGGAGCCATTATCTCCTACCAGGAGGACTGTACGCAGCTTACGGTGGCGTATAGATTGCGCCAAACATGGGCGACCTGGACCAGACTTCGACCTGCCCTTACCTCAGCCTCAGCACCTGCTCTCCCCTTGCGACTTCGTCGCTGGCAGGCATGCATTCCTCCCACTGCTCTCTATGCCCTTGACAGTCTTCCGCTGCAACAGCAACACCTGGTACAAATTCAGAGAGCCTTAACAAAACAGCTACGCGCTGTAGCCAGGTCCCAGGCACATCTGACAGGTGAATCCACAATTGCTTTACATCATCGCCTCCGGGTTCCCCTGGTGTTAGACGCGCTGCGACAGGCCTCTCACCGCCGAGCGGCCCGGTGGGCCGCCATCCCCCCTGAGGAAGCCCACCTTCTCAACCGCATGTGGCAAGCACGCATAGATGATGCCCTTCAGAAACTCGACTCTCCCCTTCAGCCACTGTTGGAAGTCACCACGGCCCCCTCGACAAGCTTTGCCCTGCAGGACAATCCATCAACCACGGGTGCTCTGGAATCGGGAATGCAAGAAGAAGGATGGTCATGTCCCCACTGCTCTTACCAAGCGCCATCACATAGACTTCTTCGCGTACATCTCTCCCGAACCCATGCAAGTAAGGCCAAAGATCGGGAGCGTCCAGGCCGCTTCAACCGCGACCAACACTCAGTCAGTGGGATGCCGACCTGTCGTCTCTGCGGGCACCGCTTCTCTCGTTGGAGTGGTCTTCGCTGCCACATTGACAAGGGACACTGCAGATGCCTGTCCTTCTCAGCCCTGCCAGAGCCTGAGCCCACTACTACTGTGCCTCCGAACATTGCGACCCACCCATTGCCGCCTCATACATCCACCGAACTAGCCCCTGTGCACACGGAGGCCGGCACTACCACAGCTACTACGTCAGCGCCAGGTCTGGAGCCACCCCTTTTGGCAGAGTGCCCTGCTGCGCACTCTTGCCCGAACCCGGCTTCCTCCTCTTCACCTCCGGGGCAGCCTACAGCTGCCGCCACCATGGCGGATGCCGAGGATATACTGTCCATTCGCCATCAGCCTGTCTCGCAGCCGCTGGCTTATACCCCGGCCTTTCAAACACAGCTGCGACGTCTTGGCTGGCAGGCGCTCCTCTCGAGGCCAGATCTCAGGAGCTCACTGAAGCACCACTGCCCGCTGTGCTCTCAGTGGACTGCTTCCCCTTCGGGGCTCAAGGTGCATTTGCAGCAGTCACACCCGGAATGGAAAGCTCTCCGCCCGGCTGCACAGGCGAAGGCTCAAGTTCTGCGCCGCAGTCTGTGTAAACCATGTCTATACTGCCAGGAATCTCGCATTGATCTCCAACATCACTGGAAGCAGTGTTACATGATTACCTTGCTCAGCTTCCTAGAGTGCTGGCTGAACAACACCTTCCCTGCCATAGCCTCCACTGCCCTGGACCAATCGGTTCACGCACTCTCTCCTGCCAATGTCAGTGGAGGATCAACGCGAATTGGGCCTCTTCCAGAACTTCATGACACCGCCGGCGGGCATGGATGCAGCTCAACTCAAGCGCCGCCGGGGGGAGGAGCCGGAGGCACAACAAGCCCTATTCCTGAACCACTCGTCCGGCTCCCAGGCTTCAGCGTCGACCATGACGTTCGCCAGCACGAGCTTGGAACCCAAGGGCAAAGGGAAGGGCAAGCAGCCCAAGGGCAAAGGACGGGGCAAAGGGGGCAAATCACGCCCAGCTGCCCAACAGTCGTGGAACGACCAATGGAGCTCGGATCAGTCTTGGTCCAGCGGCCACTCCTGGACTTCCTCCGGCGACCTGACCGGTCAAATGGCCCGTCTCCTTCTTCGCCACGAGCAGCAGCTGCAGAGCATCCAACAGGACTGCAAGCTGCATCTCTATCTCCGAAGTGGGAAGGAATCCTTTCTTCCCAATCTATGCGAGATTGCCAAGGAATGGAGCCGCCTTCGTCGCGACGAACCGGGGAAGATCAACAGTCCGCTGCGCACTCTCCTCCTCAAAGCCATCTTGCAGGAGATGGAGACCCGGATCAAGCTCACCATCAGCAAGGAGAAGCAGGCGGCCATCGACATGCAGTGGTACAAGGAGGAGGAAGGCTGGACTTACATGCAGTGGAATGCACAGAAAGGCCAGCTCGAACTTCAAGCTGCTCCGAGTCCACTTGCCACCGAGACCCTCCTCGAGCTCCTCCGAGAGCTTCGCACCCTAGTGAATCCGGACTCTGTGAAGAAATTCGCATCACTCCGCGGACTTCCACAGGAACCCCAGTCCGAATGGATCCACTTTCAGCTGGAGCTCGGGTTTCGACCACAGGGGGATCGCATGTGGGAGATCTTTCAAATGCTGCTCAACCAGAGTTGCCTCCATCCTCTCGGAGCGCGCCTGAGGAAGGACCGCCCCGGCCTGTCAGGCCTTGCGGCCCAAATTCAACAGGCGGTCGGCGGCTGGTGAAATCAACCACACCCTTGGCCTCGACCTCAGCCTCTTCTGGCATACGTCGCTTTCTCAGAATGTCCCGGGATTTGCCCTTAGATACTGCCTGCTCCTCGCCCTCATTTGTGCCCACAGAAGTCCCCTCGCACTTTCAGCCTTTGCTTCATGCAGTCCTCCACAATGCAGACGGCACTGCCTGCTACATGAACACAGCACTCATTGCCCTGCTCTGGGCAATTGGCTGCCATGATCCCACTCGATCAGGCTCATTGAGCAGCTTATATCAGTGCCTGACTGCGAGGTCGGACCTTCGACTGATGCGCAACATGTGCTGGACTATGTTGCTGGGGAACTGGGCCAGGCCCAATCAACAACACGACATGCACGAATTTCTACTTCATCTCATGCCGAGAGTTCGATTGGAGGCCTTCAGCGGTTTGTGGCAAACTCGCAGACTGGAGGACACGGGCACTGTGATTTGTGCATCTTCCAATGCACTGCTCCCGGTCACACTTGACCTGCCCCTGGAGGCTCGGGGGCTTCAGCATTGCGTACAGGAGTGGTCTGCCCAGCATTACCATACCGCTTTCAATGGCAATATGCCTCATCTCATTTGCCTCCACTTGTCGCGCTATAGGCGTGATGATGAACGGGGCATTTTCAGCAAGGACGATCAGGCTCTCCCAGACTGGTCTGAAGTGATACGCATTCCACAATTTGCGATGTCACATGACATACAGAAGCATTGGAGACCCTATCAGGTGTGTGCCATGGCTCTCCACTATGGGCCTGCCTTGCACCAGGGGCATTACCGCTGCTTAACGCGCTGGGGTCAAAATCCAGTGCGTGTCTGGCTGCATGACGACAATCATGCAGCTGAGCCTCTCTCCTTGCCCGACTCTGTTGAGCTCAGTCGCAAAGCCTACTTGCTATGGGCAATGCGAATGGACTGAGGCCTCACCTGCCATTGTGAGCAAGCTCCGACGACTTAGTTGTACAAAGCACACGTACTGTCATTCGTGACTATGTGTGACTTGAGGGGGCACAAAAGTGCGCGCCCACTGAGGCGCCGGAATCTCACCACGAGATTCTGCCTTAGCTAGCTAGGCGACGACTCGTTCGCTGCGTCCTGAAGAAGATGTATGTAGTGTTTAGGTGTATATGTATATATGTATACATGTATATATGTATATATGTATATATGTATATATGTACATATTTATATTTGTATATATGTATATATGTATGTATGTATGTATGTACTTATGTATACATGTATATATGTATATATGTATACATGTATACATGTATACATATATATGTATATATGTACATATGTACATATTCATATATGTATATATGTATATATGTATATATGTATATATGTATATATGTATATATGTATATATGTATATATGTATATATGTATATATGTATATATGTATATATGTATGTATATATGTATATATGTATATATGTATATATGTATATATGTATATATGTATGTATATATGTATATATGTATATATGTATATATGTATATATGTATATATGTATCTATGTATATATGTATATATGTATATATGTATATACGTATATACGTATGTATGTATTTATGTCTAGATGTATATGTGTAGAGGAAGCCGTGCTTGCACTGATCAACTCGCATGTCATAGGGCTAAGCCAGCTGCTGGTGCACACTTGGGTGCCTCGGATGTCGTCGGGCCATGCGGCCATTTTGGATCATAGGCACGTCGGGGTGCTTTCTGTTTTCTCTTCGGGTTGTTGTCTCGGGTTTCTGTTTTCTTGTTGATTGTTTTCTGTTTCTGATCATGGCTGCCCCTTCGCGTGCAGTGCCTTCCTCAGCCGATGACTTGGTCATTGAGGACGTGGCCACCCTGCTAACTGAGTTCACCAACCAGACAGAGTCGGAGGTGATGACTGCAAGTGTGATTGAAATTTTGCGTGCTGCGAGCACGGTTGGCCTCCTGAAGGGAAAGCCCATTTTGCAACAGTTGGTTGTCGACCTTGGTGATGTGAACAGGCGACACCGTTTCGAGAATTCCTCCCGTCAGGTGCCCTCTGGGGATTCGCCTCCTGGTGTTGTGGACGCGGTTGCCTCAGGCACCGATCGTCCCACCCAAGAGGTCCCATTGGAGGTGCTGGATGTGGAGATGGTCCAGTCGGCTCCGCCTTCGTCTGCGGTCTCAGTGGCCGCTTCTGGGGCGGATGATTCTGATGCTATGGCTGTGGATTCCCGGTCGGCGTCCTGGCGCCCGAATATTGTTGGGTTGAGCGCGAAGATGTGGAGAGACTGCAAGCATGGATCCAGGAGCAGCTGGACGAAGCAAGGGACCCCGCCACCGTGCTCCCGCAGTTTGAGGACAAGGTGGTCTTACTCCAGTTGGAGTTCCCTTGGTTGTCGGTGATCGACCTCTTCAGCCGATCGCACCCTTGGTGGGAGGCGGTCTGCAGATTCTGCTCTGTGGTGCCGGAGGAGTACGGCACGATCAAGGGCCAGAAGATTAGCACGACAGTGCTGGCCAGGTGGAATTGCCTCAGGCGGGAGGACAGGATGAAGCTGCTGGCCTATGTGGATGCCACCGCGAAAGATTTCCACAGTGATCCTAGCCTCTTCGTCAGTGGCCTGTTGCACATGAAAGACAAGTTGCCCTTCAAGAACGTGGGCGCTGTGGTGATGTCGCTGCCGGACCTTACAACAGAGAAGCTCATGGGCACAGACCGTGCTGTGGTTCAGTGCGTTGACGCCAAGAAGTCCCTGTGCCGCCTCGTACAGCCCAGCGTGCTTCCGGACAGATTGTTGCGCAACGACGTGGCCACGATCCAGCGGTCCCTCCCCAAGCTGGTTGTGGAGAAGATGGTGGAGGGCCTGGATGTGGACAGCCTCTCTCTGCTGGAGGATGCCATCCTGAACCATGGGGGGCACCTGAGGAACCGCGCGGCAACGCTGCGCCAGGAGGACATCCTCAAGCGCCAAAACGCCAGGGCTTTGGTACTGCCACGGTGCCTCGGATGGCTCGGGCTCGGCGAGCTCGTTGGAATCCTCCTCGAGCTCTTCGGAACTGCCAGATGGCTGGGGCTCCTTCGGCGGGCTCTTCTTCGGGCAGTTCGCCTTCGACGTTGACGTTCGTGGTGGTTCCTACGCGGTGACAAGCAAATAACTTTCATTTTGCCCGGCGAGTTTTGTCGGGGGGTTTTCCTCGGATGTGGTTGCCGCAGGCGCCGATCTTCCGAGGTGCAAGGATTACCCGGGTTTGAGTCCTCGGGCCCTTCGGAGTTGGCAGCCACTTCTCGGTTCTCGGCGTGTGGGTGAAAATAGCGAGTGCTGTGTCGGACCCCTCACTTCAGGGCATGTGGCTGCACTGTGACGTGTAGAGGAATCCGTGCTTGCACTGATCAACTCGTCGCATGTCATAGGGCCAAGCCAGCTGCTGGTGCACACTTGGGTGCCTCGGATGTCGTCGGGCCATGCGGCCATTTTGGATCATAGGCACGTTGGGGTGCTTTCTGTTTTCCCTTCGGGTTGTCTCGGGTTTCTGTTTTCTTGCCCGCCATCCCGCACCTGTGAGGCCTCTGGGAACGCGACACCAAACATGGGTGATCGACCGGGTGGTGAGGTTGATGCCAAGCTCACGGTCTGCCGTCCCCCGAACTCCTGTCCGGATGTTTACAAGACGGAGGTCCTCAAGATTGATGAGAATGTGAGGCTCGTCCTGGCACGGCACCAGGTGCCCTGGCTTGTGCTTTACGCCATGGCGTCGCAAGGCTTTGTCACGGCCCAAGACTGGGCCGGGCGTTGGGACGAAGGGGAACTTCGCAAGGAAGCCCCCCAAGCTTGGCTTTAATGACAACACCAGCGTTCTTGCTTCCATCCGCCTTGAGAGTGCAATCGAACAGTTCAAGTTGTTGAAGAAGCGGAAGCTCGCCGAGGTGGACATCCACTCGGTTGAGGATTACAAGGCCATGATCGGCCGTGGTGATCGCCAGGAGATGCGTGCGGCTTACTTGGCCAAGTTTGGCGTGGAACCGGAGCGTGAATTCGAAGGTTCGGACCACATGCTCGGGGTCCTCAAGAGAGTCCTGTACAGAGGAGAATTTCTCTCGGGCTCGCAGTTGGATCTCAACAAGGTCGTGGCAAACCACCCCAAGGACGGGGAGGTCAAGTTCCAGAAGCGCCAGAGCAAAGAAGATGTGGAATGGATCCATGAAGAAGCCAATCGGGTCCAAACAGAGAAGCAATGGAAGCGGGTACTGATGATCTGGAGGACGTCTCTCCTGATGGTGGTTGCTACCTGCGCGGGGCCATATTCCATACAGCTCACCAAATCGGACTTGGATGAGTTCTATTTTGTTTGGGGACACGATCATGGGCCGGGATCCGGCCCGGGCGAAAGGCCTGGGACTCTTGGCTCTCAACATGGCTAAGGATGAGACGCTCACAATCTCTGGGGCAGTGAAGGACATCCAGAATAACTCCCGCTTATGGTCCATGGAAATCGATGAGTCCTGTCTTCGCAGGTCCCAGCCCTTCCATCCCGAGGGCCCGGGGCGAGGAAAAGGCAAAGGTAAGGCCAAGACCAAAGCCCTACAACTGCTGGCCAAGCAGTGCCACCTGGAGTGGGCAACAATGGCCTCGGATGGCAAGGAGTTTTGCAAGAAACACCATGCGTTCAACGGGGAGACTGCGGAAGGTCCCACAACTGCCCGGTTCTCCTGCCCAGTGGCAAGGCTTGTGAGAAGAAATCACGTTGACAAACCCGCCCCTCCCCTCAGGGGCTTCTGAGGGGCGGGGCTTCCTCAGGGGCCTCCGGATCCCAAAGGGATGGTTGCTTTAGGCGCCGACTCCCCGCAGGTACCCGTTTAGAAGTGCTCACATTTCGCGAGGAACCATCACCAAAGGGACGGTTGCTTTAGGCGCCGATTCCCCGAGGCACTCGGGCAACAAACGCTCCTTGGGAGAGGCTCAGCAGGGATCGGGGCCCTAGTTGGAGACTAGCAGCGGGTTTGTTTCTGGAGCGGCGGCTCAGGGGCAGGCGCGGAATACGAAGGCCAAGATGCCATCTCGGAACCCAGGCAGGCGCCTCTAAGACAGCAGACACTGGCCTCTGTGACAGAGTCTGTGTCTTTATGCGGGACAGGATGATGCCAGGAGCACCAAGTTAGCTCTTTGCCAAAAGTCCCCCACCTGGCAGAATTTGTGGTGGAAATGGACATGTGCAGGGAGAAAAAAAGCTGCGCAATATCCTTGGTGACAAGGTCTTTGCGGGCCTTTGCCAGCTGGCGCTCAGGGAACCTCATGGCTATCTCAGGGGGCCCCAGTTGCAGGACCTGGTCCTGCCTTAGACTCCGTGCCAGGAAAGGCTGAGGAACTCAGAGACACAGACAGGGACTCCCTGCTCCTTCTTCGGATGCTTCTGCTCTACCACCTGGCGCTTGAGGCGGGTCCTAGGCCTCCAGCCTTCCTGCTGGAACACCCGGAAGACCCAGCTAACTTTGGCGCTGGCTTGTCGCATATGAAAGTACACTGCTTTGATCAGTGCATGTTAGGACACTGTGCGCGGAAGCAAACGTCGGTTCTCACCAACTTTCTGCTGGATTGGGATGGCCTCAGAGCCAATTGACGTGGGGTCCAGCAGCGACCTGGCCTGGTGGGGCGGGCAGTTCAACCTAAAATTGGGGGTCCTCAGGACGCGGATTTAGACCGCCTCGATCCCATGGAGGCCTCCCTGATTCTCACGGTCCGGTTGGGCCACCGTTCACGCCCCTTTCGGGACGGAGGTGGCAAGCCTTCACCAGGCCGCCTCCGACCAGCCGTGCAAGCTTGCCTGGATTGGCAATTGGACCGACCTCGACGTTGCTTCACGCGCCGATTCCCCAGAGAGTCTCTCCAGACCAGTGCTCGCGGATGAGACCTTGGCGCCAAACGCCCATC